TGTAATTTCCCTTGATCAATATATAATGTTTTGCAGAAAAAATGTAAAAAACGATTCTAGTGTAGCTCTATAAGGTAGAAACAGAGAAAACTGCAGGCTCCAAAAATAGAAACTGTGCAATTTGTCTTATATTTAGATGAGGTGAAAAACATACATATCCCTGTTTTCCTTTTTACCGTTGGCCAAAAGGTTAGACAGAACTCTGTTGTTGCTATATCAATGTTCTGAGTCTAAGCAGGTTATTTTACAACCCTTTTCGTTGTGTATATCGTGACTAATTTCAAACCGCTTACAAGGATCTGCTATAAATACTTTACACAAAAGAATTTTTCATTCTATCCTTCTCTTGACAATTTTATCAACTCTGATTTTTGAAGGAGAGGGTTTCATAAATTTTCCCTTTTTTTTAGAAGAATCCGGGCAATTCTGAATTTTACACAATAAGTAAATAGCTGTTAAATGTTGAAGATCATACATGTATGGTCCCATGGAAAACAACTGTCCTCCTCTTCTTAATGACTTATTACTTTCCTCATATGATATTGATATCAAACAGGGTCTTCTTGAAAATTGCAAATACTTTAGGATATGACTTAGAAATTTCAGTGATCATTTAGGTGTCTTATATCGATGAAAGGTCAGATCCTTTGATACTGTGTTATGTCTCACATATTTTTAACCAAAACTTTTTCTTGTGATTTCTGTCGTTCAAATTCCTGAAATTCTTTCATAATAGAAATTGAACTTTTGATTTTTGATTGGAAATTAAAAGTTATGAGTAGAATCATCGATGCATTATATGTTGTAAAGTTTTGAAAATAGTTAAAATTATGTTTCTACTTAGAAATAATTATTCTTCAATTTATTAATTATGTTTTCTACATCGAAAAGCCGATTTAAAGGGATCCTTAGAGGTTTGAGATTTGCTAAGTAGAAGAAACCTTTGTTTTTGAACTTTTAGAAATCACTTGTTTCAATTAGTAATGTAAAAGTTCTTTTAAACAATAAACAAACGAAGAAGCAACGTGAAGCTCTTAGTTAAACAAATCAATGCAGGAGTCTCTCAACCTTTTGTGGAATTCATGAAATATATTAAGGGAAAAACAGGAATATGTATGTAATTTTTCTTCTTTAAATATAGAATGTTTCGCAGTAAACATGTAAATATTGATTGTATTATAGCCTATGGATTTGAACAAGCCCTATGAAGAAGAACAAGATAATACTCAAGCCTCCAGAAATATAACCTGTGCAATTTGTCTTATGTTAAGGTACGTGGGAAAACATACGTATCACTCTTTTCCTTTATACTTTTGGCCAAGTTCCGAAAGGTTAAACAGAACTAGTTATACTGATGTCCTTTTTCAAAATCTAAATTTGTCATTTCATTGATTTTTTCTACTCTGAAAAGCCGATTTAACGTGATCCTTAGAGTGATGAGGTATATCGAAATCAGATCCTGTCGATGTTCTCAAGACGACAGTTGAACCATTATCAGTTTTGAACTTTTGGGTAATTAGCCTTTCGTTTTGTTTAGACCCTAAATAAAGGCAACAGTAGTATACCGGTGTTCAAAAGTCATAAATCGATTTAGAGAGAACAAATCAGGGTTACAAACCAAAATCGAGGGAAACACATCAAATGTAAGAGGAAAACAAAGGAAGAACAGGAACACCGAAGTGCAACAAAAACAAACGCCAAGACACATAGAAACGAACTATTTGATAAAAACTGCCATATTCCTGACTTGTTACAGGACATTTTAAGAAAAAATAGTGGGTTGAACCTGGGTTCATGGCATGCCAAACCTAACACATCTAAATGTTAAGCAGTGCGGGGAAACACTTTGTTAAATTTAATGACAGCTTCTTGGTAGAACCAAAACTATTTAGAGTTCAGTATAATTTGTAGATAACTGTTTTGTGTTGAAGACCGTATGTTCCTATAACGAACAATTAACTGTTCTCCTCTTCTCTGTCTTTTATTCGTATGAAGCACATGCCAATGTAAGGTTTGAAGAAACTCTTTTAAGATGAAGAAGAATCAGAAGAAGCTAAGATTATCCTTTATCTACAGGTTTTATCCACACACTGAATGTTTAACACAGAGTGGTGACTATGTCGTTTCCATCTATTCATTTAACTTTAACTAAAGAAGAACATCGATAACTGCTACACAACTTCAGATCAATCTTAGAATAGACAGTAAGTTTTGATTGAAAATGCATCTTCATGAGAACATGTATCACAGTTAACCGTGGAATATCTTCATTTGTCGTAGTTGTTCCTTTTTCATCGAATGCGACTCCAAGAAATGTGACTTATCACCTAAATCTAGACATCCTTTAAAAACAGTTTCACCGTGACTTCCTGTCAGACAGGTTGTAAAACTTTAGCAATTGAGAAAATTCATTCGAAAAGGAATGGAACTATTAGTATTTATTGGGTATAATGGGTTTTGTCTTGCATGATTCGTGCATTACATGATGTAATATCTTCAAAGAAAGTTTGGTTCGTTTCTGTTCTACTTATTCTACAATTGACTAATTTCCTTTTTTTTTTTTTACTATTAAGAAATGCTTATTCATAGTGATGTTTAGAATACTAAGGTTCGATAAGCAGACAAAATTTGTTTTTAATTTAAAATCATTTGCGTGACGAAACAACTTTAAACCATAGTTTATTATATATGTGTTTGAAAAATAACTATTTAAAATTGTTTGCATATAATATAAGTATTTAAAGAGGCGAATAATTTTTGGAATTTACAGAATGTATAAGGAGAACAGCAGGAACAGGTATGTACTTTCCCCTGTTTAAATATAGATTTGTTCACTAGAAGTTATAAACACCTGTAAATCGATTGTATAGAACGCCGTTCGATTTCGAGCACGGATTAAACAAATTCAACCCGAGTGGTAAATTTGCCTGCATAAGTAGACATATTTAGAAATAGTTCATAAACTCTTTTTTATCTAAATATTCTGAATTGCATACTTATTCCCTTTTAACTGATAATATTTATAAACACTTGGCCAAATCAGAACTCTACAATACATGTCATTGTTCTGTATCTAACTTAAGAAATTACACATTCCTCTTAACCATTGTTAACTGTATAAACACTGGAGACAATTTCTTATCGTTAATCATAAATCTGCAATTTATTAGTTATCTTCCTAAGAAAGTTTTTAATTTAAATGCTTGTACAAAAGAGTACGATACAAGGTGGCTTTACTTTAAGGCGATAAACATAACGTTGCATAATTATTTCTTTTTGAAATAAGGATGTACAACTACCTGCTGCAAGACCTAGTTTGGATATTAAGCATTATAAATAAAAAACAATAAAAAAACAGGGTGCGATGAGGGCTTTGTTTGACCCATTTTGTTATAGAAACTTTTAATTCCAATTTTTATCAATTTGACAGATTGAGTGATACAAAATCAAAGTAGTTTGTGATCTTTGACGTTATCGTTCGACGATTTTTTTGTGAACAGAATGCAGAGGTTTTGGTAAATTTTTTACTGGATTATTGGATCTGCAAATACGAGTCACAATATTCAAATATTGGTGTTTTTTTAAGTAAAAATAAATCTGTATTAGCTCATGCCCTCTGTGAATATTCAGGATATTTCAAATTTATTATTACATTATTGCACATACATATGGATGATATTAGTATTTGTGGACTTGTTCGTCTTTTCGTCGATTTTGTTTTTTACATGGCGTTGTCAGTTTTTCTTTGACTGGACTCATGAGTTTTGAATGTTCTCTTGGTATCGTCCACCTCTTTTTCATCCTATTTATTGTAAGCACTTCGATTTTTAAAACAAAAAGGTCTTGGCGCGCCTTCTCCTTTGACTTACACTCATTTATCATAGGTCAAAGCACGTTTATATTGTAAAGCAATGCTGGAAAACATGCAAGGTTTGAGCGATGTTTAACCCTCGCCTTAATTTGATTTGCATGTCCGGAATTTGTAATTCAGTAGTTGCTTATGGTTGCTGTTTATCATATTGGTGATCTACTTTGATTTAGAAGTCAGAGATAATAAAACATTTTTTAAATGAAGTTATACAGCTGAAAACAAGGCATTATATGAACGTATATCGGGATAATTATTTTGTAATTTGCCTTACACTTACAAATGTACTTTAGACGATAACACGTCTAAATTATGACATAATGCTGGGAATTTTTTACTCTTTCTCCGATAAATTTGTTCATATTTATTTTTTAATGTGACTAAGGGCGATTTAGAGCTTTACATGTTTTGTATGATATAGCTACTTAAGAAGAATGAAAGGAAGCTATAATTGTACTTTTACCTCACTTTTCGGAAAGATCAGATCCTTTGACTGAACAATTCACAATATGTTGACTTTGTTGATCGCATACATCCTAGTGAATTTGAAATAAAGATTTCCTATTAAAAAGTGTTCATACCATTTTTCTAGCTCTAAATCGGCATCAATAGTGTCGTTTCCATTAGGTCATTTTTAGGCTTTTGTCTATACTAGACAGGTAAATATATATACATGTTGTTTAATTCTACTGAGAATCCATCCCCCTTGCCATCCTTAATTTTTACCATTGGAAAGTTATATGAACCGAGTAGATCACAGAATTAGTTAAAGAATAACACTGAACACTACGATGCAGTAAAAACGAAAAGCAAAGCCTGCAAAACTACAGATAAAAGAGTACTGAATAAAGCATTAACAAACAATCTCCCCAGTTACTGAAGCTGAAATGGTTTTCTTATATAGATATCTGAACAATAACATATGTTTCCAATGACAGTTGCGTTATTATACAAAACAGGTTTAGTTAAAGATTCAAACAATAAATAAGAGATGAAATGTTTATTCAAATGGCACATGAAGCGTGAAATAAAACCCCATGTAAATAGGTCTTAAATAAATAAAAGAAAGATTTGCAAGAATTAAATCTTAACATGTTTTGCTGATGAATTAGCGTACAAAACAAGAAATAGCTGAGTGACAAATACCGTTTTATTTAGAATTCTGAAGTTTTCGATTTTTTAAACATACCATATTTTTGTTATCAATTAACACAAGAATAATACATTTGTACATGAATACTCTTCAGTTCCTAAAATAAAGTTAAAAAAGAAAAAGTTAACTTTGCTTGAAATGATCGTTTCACAATAACAAAACATTTCATGTAGCTCAATGCCATCCTATGGCTTTCGTAACTGATCCACCGATAGATTTTATTCCACGCCAAATTGAACCAAAAAACCCTGTTACTTTCTTCACAACACCACCAAAAAATTCTTTTGCTCTTTTTGTAAAGGTGCGTCGTGTCCATGAGTAATTTACTCCATAATGGTCAATGTCAATTGTAAGTTGATTTTCGCCATTGCCAGACCGATATTTTATTGGTTCGTACAAAGCATCTGGAATATTTATCAAAACTTCAACATTTGATTCTCCATCTAAGTAATCCGAAATATGCAGTCGGACACTTCTGAGTCGACTTCTTAGATTTTCATCCAAGCTATGTCTGTGATTTCTGATCATCTCATTTATAGTTAAATGGTCTATGCGTTCTCGATAAGAGTATGCCTACAAAAGCATAAACATTTCTTTTAGAAAATTGTCAAAAATCATTATTTGCTTCACTCAGCATACAGAACCAGATCCCGTAACACGCAAAAACATATTTCAATCTATGTTTTTGGTTGTACATTTAAAGTTTGAAAACTTTGTTTACAATTTCAATTTGTTTTAAATTTATCAAATGATATTCTCTGTCAACAAGAAGTGTATCTCGAATGTTAAAAATGTCATGACTTTGCAAATGAAAGACATGACATGTCGAATTAAAGACAATGAACAAGCAAAAAAACGACATACAATTAACCCTAAAACAGACGAAAAAATCAAACACACAAAATAAGACATATACATATCAACATTTAACAAATTCTTATACAATATTCAAAACTTCCATGACTTTAAAAAATCGACCACATTTTTTTGTACTGACTAGATTCAGGACACTAATGGTGTTGGTATCAATACCAGTAGGTGCAAATTTTTCTGTATTGTTATGAGTTACAATTTATGACTAAAATCAGCAAAGACCCATCGAAACAACATCTGATTCAAAAATTTAATAACACTTTTAGATATTTGGATGATATATTGGCTCTCAATAATGACAACTTCAGTATGTACACTAGAGAGATTTATCCTGCTGAACTGACTTTAAATAATGCTAACACTAACAATGAACACTGCCCTTTTCTGGATCTTGATATCTATATCTTTAACGGGAAGCTTAATACCAAAATTTATGATAAAAGAGATGAATTTTCATTTCCCATTGTTAATTATCCCTTTTTAGATGGTGACGTTCCCTTGTCACCATCTTATGGTGTTTATATATCTCAACGTGTTCGATTCGCTCGTGTATGTAACAACGTATTTGATTTTAACGAAAGAAATCTCTGTATTACTGAAAAATAATTACACCAGGGTTTTCGATATCACAAACTAGTCAAAACATTTACTCAATTTTATCATCGGTACAAGGACATTATTCGTAAATATAAATCAACATGTAGACATCTTATACGTTCAGGTATTTCACATCCAATCTTTTATGGTAATATTCTTTACAAAGCACAAAAATGTCGCCATTCTCCTCAAAAGTTAACCAAACCTTTAAACAGACTTATTCAGAAAGGATATAGTTACGATACTGTTGTCAGGTCATTGAAGATGGCATATTTTGGTATTAATATTGATTCACTCATGGAAATTTAGTGGATTTTTTCTACATGAAATTTTTAAAAGTTAGTCTTTATTCCGAATAACTATTTCTAAGTTTTATTGTGTGTACAACATTCCCGCCGAAATGTTACAGAACAAAAGAAAGCATGCAGAACAAAGAAACTCAAGGAAGGGTGATCTGGTAGGTGTGATCCGACTCAGGTCACCCCTGTTAGAACAAAGGAGTTGGGATGTTAGGTAGGGTATTCAATTATTCACAATATCAATTTCAAGTCATATTTTGTAGAACGACTGCGTAATTATGTGCTAAAATAAGAATCATTAAAAAAACAGTCTACGATATTTAAAAACGCATGATGCAAACTTTTTTCCTTTAATTTTAACGAAATTAAACATTTTTGGTTTGTTGAAATCGTGCTAAAACGATGCGGAAGACACCAAGGAGAAATTAAAAACACATAACATCGCCATGGCAAAGCACGAAAGACAACAACAAAAAAACAAACAAATTCACAAAACACTACATAGAAAACTTAAGACTAATCAATACGAACCTAAGGATAACAAAGTTTTTCCTAACGCAAATAAAAGATTTCAGTTTTGCCACCAATTTAGGAGCAAAGTCTTGTTAACATTTCAACATGTCATCTTGACTCGACATGATTAATAAGTTTGACTTCGAAAATCATATTTTTACTGTATATTACTTACATATTCCTTCCTAACGCTTATGTTTCTCTATCCTCAGGTAATATTGCCGTAGCCGTATTTTGGACAACTTTTCGGTATTTTCGGACTTCAATTTCGAAATATGTGATTTGTTTTTGCAACTGTTTTGATTCGAGCGCCACTGATGAGCCTTATGTGCATGAAAAGGCGTTTGGCATACCAAATTATAAGCCTGGTATATTAAAACTTATCATGCATTTTTATTTTCAAGTAATGGCAAATTATTTTCTTCCTGATAATGAAAACGATGTGACTTTATTAAAAATAAATCTAAACTTGGTTGTTTATTTTTTGAAAATGCTTGATTTACAAAGCAAAAAAAAGGAAATTGTAGTTGGTATTACATCTTATCTACAGCTTTCGGCACGACATAAGATATGTCATTGGGTCAATTTTTATGTAAACGTAAGCAACAATACTAACTGACAGCTACAGATACGCGAATGTATGTTTGGAAAATACAGAATTCTGAGTTTTTACTTTTTTTTTTTTAAATCAAACAGTGTCTTAAAAACAAATTACTTCTGTTCAAACATACAGGTTTCCGAGAGCATTTAAGTTCAATCAAGGGGTATACCATATATCATTGATTGAAATGGCTCTCCACTGAGTAGTCATTAAAACATCAAACCAATAAATTGATTTGTAGATCTGAAATTGCTGTTTTAATTGATCTCTTTCCCATTACACTTTCGAGACAATACCCCAACACATCCAAGGTTCATAAAAATTCATTTACGGGCAATAATTATAATATGGAAATCAACTGATGGTTGTATTGCATTGTCAATCGTTTTTGCTGTTTATAGTTTCTGTCTGTCTATTATATGTTTTATGATAATACACTGAATCTTCATTCATTCATTCATTGACGGGTGAAAGATTTCAAAAAAAGTTTATAACGACGACAGAAGACGACGACGACGGACACAAACTTATGGCAATAGATAACTAGGTTCACAGGGCCTAGTGAGCTAAACAATAAACAAATATTTAAAAAGAGGATAAATGTATACTACGTAGAATTAAACACTGAAAATTGAAAATGCACACCTAGATTAAAAAGTTACACACTGAGAATTACAAATACGCAGTGAGAAATAGAAGTTACACACTGAGATTAAAAAAATTAAAAAAATACAAAATGAAAATTTACAATTTCACATATCTATTTTGCAAACTTATGGTCATTTTGGATATATACCTAAATAGATCAAATTTATTCGTTCAGTGTATGTTCACTTGTGTTAGTATGTCTTTTGATTGAGTTAAGCCATTTCAATTGATATTTTATAGTGTGTCTTTCTATGTTGTGATGTTACACTATTGTTTCAGACAAGGGTGAAGGTTTGGTACCATTTAAACGTTTAAACCCGCTGCAATTGTTTGCACCTGGCCTGAGTCAGGAATTTGAGGTTCAGTAGTTGCCGTTTGTTGATGTGGTTCATAAGTGTTTCTCGTTTCTCGTTTTTTATTTATAGATTAGACCGTTGGTTTTCCCGTTTGAATGGTTTTACATTAGTAATTTTTGGGGCCCTTTATAGCTTCCTGTGCGGTGTGAGCCAAGGCTCCGTGTTGAAGGCCGTACTTTGACCTATAATGGTTTACTTTTATAAATTGTGACTTGGATGGAGAGTTGACTCATTAGCACTCATACCACATTTTATTATATCTACTAAGGTAACTTATGGTTTCGAACGAACCCTCTTTTTTCAGTGGCAGTCCTTTATTGAAACTTTTTGAACACATAGGTTACCTAAAGGTGGATACGAAAACACATCCTGAGTGTCGTTTGTGGCGGTTTTTTCGTGTGTGTAACGTAACATTTTCGTCTACCGTTTTTCTTAGTGTTGGTAGGATTGATTTGGTGTGTGACTTGCCCTTTTAATTCAATAACCTCCCTTGGTTATAGGTTGAAAGTTATAAATGTTTATCAAGTTTATCGATAATTAAGTCGTTTTGCGTCAGGGTTCTAATGTTATCGTGACTGTCTTTGAAAAAATCATTTGGCTGGTATTTACAATCCTTTTGTGGGAAAAAAATCAAATTAAAATACTTATTCAAGCAATTAGATAACATTTTACATTAATATTTTTAGAACGAACGAAAAACTTCAGTTTTCAAAGTTGATAATGTTTCGTATGACATGTAAGATTGAATGACATATTTTTGTACGTTGCATATGCTAATAAGTCATAATTGAAATTATTCGGCAAAATTTTTTTTCCATTCGGCAAGAACTGAAGAAACAATTACACCTGATTTTTTACTAAAACTCAAATAATCTATATTCTTACTTAATTTTTATTTACATCTGTTTTGGTAGTTAAAACTAAATTAACCGATCTATTTAATGAGCAATTTATATTCTACCTTATTCTAATTCAATTATCGAAGAAGCAAATGAGTTTAAAAGTATTTATCTTACTATCTTGTCGTTAAAAGTAGTTATATCCTTTCGGTAAAAACATAGGTAATTTAATCTATTATAAAATATTCAATATTACTATTTTTAGGAAAACTATTTTTAAACCGACATTTTCCACTTTCTTGGCTCATTTAAATTCAATTTCGATCCCTTTAAACTTAAAACCATCTTTGTAGTAATATACAAGATGGAATTTACTATGCCAATGTTTACTTCATCGGTCTATGATGGTTTTTAAACATAAATGTAGACGTCGTTAACAAAAATGTTTCATGAATTTAATAAAATAGTTTATAGGAAGACCATTAAAAAGTCGTGTGTATGTGTCATGAATCGAATAAAATAGTTTGTAGGAAGACCAGAGCTCATTTACTTATACTGCTAAAAACAACAAATAATTATAAAGACCAGAAACAAATCATCGCAGAATAAGATGAGATACAACGAAACGTAAAACCAAATATAATGGCTAGTCCCCTTTAAGTAATAAATAAAACTTAGTATATACCCTTGGAACTCATTAATATTGAAAAAATTGATATCAATTAATCACATATCTCCTCTAAACAAAAAATGAAAGAGAATTCTTCTGCTGTTTGGTGGCCAAATTTCATTTCCCAATGCCTGAGGTTTATTCGCTTCCTGTTTTACAGTTTTGTCGTTTATTAATTGAAGTATACATCTCCACTTTTCCTGTTTGGTCTGTTTGTATACCGAAGAGTGGCGAAAGATACCAAAGGGACATTCAAACCCATAAGTCGAAAAAAAAACTATCAACGCCGTGACTAAGAATGAAAAAGACCAAAGACAACACTATACAAAACGCTAAATTAAAAACTACAGACTGAGCAACATGAATTGGTTAGTCAATATTATTGCCCAATTAAAACATTAAATTTATGTCTTGCCCAGTTCAACAAAAATCTGTATGTGCACCATGAAGGGGTAAATGTCTATATTGTTTTTTAAAAATTTATAGTGATATTATTAGGCAACATTTAGTTACTTTTTTCCACTCTGCAGTTGGTTGAAATTGACCGATTTTGTTAATTTATGTATGTCGCGTTATCAGCAAATAGCATAGAAAAAATTTGCTTAAATCAATTTTATGCATTGACTAAACTTGCAGTAAAGAGTGAATTTTGTATCTGTATGGTTCGAAATGAGATAACGAACAGTAAAAAAAACAGTGTTTCATTGCTGTGTGTTTTATGAAGTGTTTAAATTTTGTGTAATTAATAAATACACCATATTCAATTCTATTTTATTATAAATATTATGTAGATATACGATCACAACCATGACGATAAAAGAAGTAAACTTATCACACTGAGGACGATTTTTTCATCAGTTTTCTTCCGTTGATTGACCATTCCTCATATTTCGCTTGTTTTTGTTTCGAGCAGATATATAGACGTATATACTATTCATCTTCAAATACCACAAACGTTAAAGAGACAATAAGATGGAATGTAAAATCAAATTACTGTAAGGACAAATTACAGCATTGACGCTCTTCTTGTATAGCACTTGTTGCACAAGATAAGGGAAGAAACTCCGTACAAAGCTCAAACCATGTTTGAATATAGTGTACAAAAAAATGTAGATTTTCATAAATCATCAGACGTACATGTATTTATTTCTACAGCTAGCAATGTAAAAAACACATTTAAATGTTGATAAGTACTAAGCGGCATAATCAAAATTTAAAGTTGCACAATATAAAAATTTTGGTCTGGAAAAATTAAATTAAAGGATTTAAAATGTTAATATTTATACGAACGTATAAAAAATGACCATTAAACATAACTAACATTTTTCAGTTTTTTGTGTGTGATGGTATTTCTAAAATTCTAAAACAATAAGGTGAACATTTTTACAAATTTATAGATGGGTTTTGATTTAGAACTAATTAAAACAATTACTATACAGCTGTTTTTAATATTGTCTAAATAAAGAATACTAAATTGATTAATTGGTCAACAATCCAACGTGAGTTCGCAGATCTTCAAAACATTTTCTGACAGCTACTTGCAATTTTTGCAATGATTATTTTAGAAAAGCTGTAGTTTAGGTTTTAACGATATAGATTTAATCATTTTTGAATATGATTAGTGGATGTTTTATTCGTGTATTTATTTATTTTATAACGTGTTGTCTTATAGTTCTTTCATGTAGATCATTACTTAATGATTAATATGTTTTCTATTGGAATACGAAATTTAGGCGAGAATTTCCTGTTTTATTAGAAAATGTTGGTGTATGGAACGCTACAGCTGCCTTATGATGACGATAATCATATTATTACGGGTTGTGATATAACATGAAGCAAATTTTCTATACTATAACGACATTTGACTATACTACTCTGTCAATTTGCTATATCACTAAGATAAATTCATATTCTATAAAGACGTTTTGATATAACATTGAGCTACCTTTTCATACTATTCTGTCATTTTACTTTGTTATGAAGACATTCTTTTACACTATGAAGACATCTTAATATATTATGGAGCTACCTTTTCATACTATTCTGTCATTTTACTATACTAGTACTATTATTATGCCAATGATATATCATAAAGATACATTTTATACCATAAAGACATCTTTATATAATATTGAGCAACTTTTTCATACTATTTTGTCACCTCACTATACTATTTTGTCATGTAACTATCTTATAACGATAAATTTGTATACTATTTAATCATCGCGATATAACATGGAGCAACTTTTCATACTATTCTGTCATATTACTACCGTATGAAGACATATTTCAATATCAAGCTACCAATTTCTTATACCACGAGGTGTCATTTATATACCAGTAGTCTAGGCTATTTGATCACACAACAAGAACAATCATCTCGATATAACATAGAGCAACTTTTTCATACTATTTTGTGATATTACTATTTTATGAAGAGGGTTGTTCGGTGTGAGCCAAGGCCCCGTGTTGAAGACCGTACTTTGATCTATAATGGTTTACTTTTACAAATTGTGACTTGGAGGGAGAGTTGTCTCATTGGCACTCATACCACATCTTCTTATATCTATATATTTTAATATCAAGCTACAAAATTCTTATACCACGAGGTGTCATCTACATACCAGTAGACTATTTGATTACACTACAAGACCATTTCGTCGTACCTATCAGAAGACAATTCTATAAATAGTGGCGAAAATATTATATTTCATATTTTTAATTTAATTTTTTTTATTCTGTGTTTTCAGAAATTCCAGTATCGCATCATCAAGTTAATTTGTAGATGATCATCCGCCTGTTTTGTAGTTACAAACACATTCTATCATTCATAAACTTTGGCATGTTTGATCGTATATTTCAGGCAACAGCTTTATTCCCGAAAGCAATGTTATAGATCGTATTTGCTTCACTAAATGTGGTTTCTGAAAGTTTTACAAAATTTTATCTAATAAACACGTGTTTTTTGCTCTAAAATACTATATTCAATCTTTTGAAGATGAAGGTAAGTTAACAATTTCACAGTTTAAACAATGCAAAACACATGCTTGTAATTGTGTTTTCTCCTTTTTATATGCAATCACAGATTTCATAACCTGCTTTATAGAACAAGAGGTCGTGAAAAAATGTAAAGGTCATTTCTCAGTTATTGTCCTCAGTCATGCATTGTAAACCATCAGAAAACAATTTTAACAGCTTGGTTAATCTGTAAATGAATATAGAATTATAATACTGATTTTTTTTTCTTATAAAGAGATAATTTCAATAATCAAACTATTTGACTATGAAATGAAATCATATGTGATCATTCTATTAGAAACAGATGGGCAACGACACGAAATATAAAACTTCTTTATTTTTTTAAATAACTATTTATTTTTTTACGGTTAGAATATAATTCGAAATCAATGTTTACAATAAGCAACCAAGTGTGCTTTTGATTATCTTTTCTTTGATAAAAAAAAATAGATGCGGTGTTTTATTGAATTATATTTAATATGAAAAAAACTTCTTCGTATTGTCTCCGAATAACACTGCAAGATTAATTTCTACAAAATCATCCTTCATAGATTGGTCAAACCATTTACTTAATTGCATTAAAAATATACATTTTGTGTCATGGATGGATACCCCATATCCTTTGTCTTTCTATTATGTACTACGGAATTATTTTGGGATTATTATCCACCTGCAGAATGGGCCATTTCACACCTGCAAACAAATTCAAGAGTTGTCCATGTATTCTTTCTTTGTGGCTTAATTAATAAAATAATTGATGGTGGTTATAGTTATTTATACAGTCATTGTAAAAAAAATATAATGATATTCGTGTAAACTGAAATAATTTCCTTCATGAATAGTTTGAAGCTAGACAACAATGCTTTTTTTTTTATTTCAACATAAAAATTCTGGGCAAAATTTTGAGCATTGAAAAATATCTTAAATTTCTTCTCGTACAGTTTAGAACGGCAGGATATCAGCAGCTTACGTACTTAGAGCTTGCTTTTAGTAACTGCAAGCCGTCTTCAATTTGGTTTTATTTTCATCATTGTTGTATCCGTAAAATTGATGACTTATTATACCGGAGTGAACATACAATATATGTACATTGTCGGAAAAATATAACTTATTTTAACGAGCTTTAGAAACAGGGAGAAAGGGTAGGCTCGCCGAGTTTTTCTCCTGTTTCTTAGTGGGTACAATACGTAACATTTTATATATTCCGACAATGTATCTATAATTTTTATTCTCTTCCGTCTTGATTTTTGAAGAAATCGACATTGGCTTAAACGCAGACCGCAAAGAGGACACCAAAACGAGTTGTGACGTAAACAGTAATTTTAAAACTACCGCTCCCTCAACATAGAAGCATGATAACAGGCCGGAGACTTTCTTTTCACAAGTGAAATAAACCAAAAACACTTTACCTGTTTTTGAAAAAATAGCTGGATGATTGCAGGATAATATGAATATCGTTATTGCATTCTTGTATGAACTCTTTTTTATTCCACTGATTAAGATAAAATGAACATCCATATTTTGATATGCTTTTTGTTAACAGGAAATTATCAGCGGTTGCTTTTATTCTTTTGAGGCATTTGGTTTTGAGGAAAGATCTATGATAGTCTCTGTTAAATGTATTCTCAACTTTTCTGAATGGACATTTAGAGTGATCAGCTCTTCATAAAATGGCTTATCACGGTTTTATGACGTCAAACACGTTACCCGGTCTTATTAAATTTGGCCCGGATATATCACCGACGTCATAATGAATGAAACGACGTTGATGAGTTTGTCCCGAACTTATCAAGTCATCATCCGGTGTGCTGGTTAAACAAAGAAAAACACTTGTTTCTACCATGCAAAATGCAAAAACACATTCCAATAAATGTACAATATGTACCGATTATCAGATTTTCATCATATTTATATTGTAAAATGTCAGCTGCTCGACACAATATGAAGCCTCTTTGAATTCGTTTGCTGCGCTCACTAGACAAAAAGCTTCATATTGTGACTCGCAGCTGATATTTTACAATATCAATATACAGAAAATCTGATAATCGGTACATATTGTACAGACAACGTATGTTGACCTGTTGATGTTTGTGATTATTAATGTTGTTGAATTTCTTTCTCATTGGAAAAATACCCCGCATCGATTTTTATTCATAACATGTTAACCCAAGAAACTCAAGATAACACACACATACATGTATTCTGCAGATTCCATATTTTTTCTCCAAATTGTAGCTTACACTGAACAGACAGAATCCAGGCAAACTAATTGTTAATACCTTAGCGACTTCCTTGTAAAACTTTTGATAGTCTTTCATAATTTGCAATTTGATTACAGGTGTTACAAATGTTTAATACTGTTATATATATGAATAATTTCATGATTTTTTGTAGAATTATCTTATCATGTGTATTCTCGTCTTGTGCACAGTTGGGACATTATATGCCTTCACCTGTGACAGTTGCAGACTGGACATCGCCTCATGTATCGAAGAATGTGGTCAGTTGACATCAAAAGAGAGGTGCTATTGTCAGAAAGCATGTTATAAATCTGCACTTATTTGTCTCAACTCTTGTGTTGACCTGTCAGGATGGGAAGACATTTTGTTGCTTTTGGCTGATGATTAGGAAAAAGTTTATTTACTACGAGAAGCCGACATCTATAATGTAAATAAAGCATATAATAATCACTTGTTTTTATTTCTAGTACTTATTTTAGTTTTCTAAAGGAATTATAAATATCTTCGTAATTACCTTTGTATACCAAGTAAATGTTATTACAGTTATAAGTAAGGGTATTGAATAACAGTTAAACTTCGATTGACGAGCAAATACAATTGACATTTTAAGCCATGAATGATCATTGTGACAACTGCATTCAAATGCTAAAAAACAGAATTCTATTTTTTTTCTTAAATCATAAAATATTTAATCAGCATAATATAGCTTTAAGTATTTGATATAGGGTTACCATCATACTTTTAGTTAAAATATAAAATAAGCTTCAGTTCCATAAACAATAGCGATTCACAAACTAAACAAATGAATTCAGATCAAAATTGAAAAAAACACAATTAATCAATATTGAATAATTCCGTTTTACTATTTTAAAATATTCAATGTATAAAATTCCATTCAATCTTAATTTTTTATGTACATTTTTATGACATATATTTTGAGGGTAGTTATCAACAACATTGTTTCATCATATAAATCATCTGACATTATCAACGAATTACATTTACATTCAAGTATAACGAATTGCATTCAGGTATAGCGAATCTTCTAATTTTAACGTAATATTATATCACAAACTGTGATGGATCTGTAAGACAAATATCGCACAGTTTATCCACCGAGGCCGGCCCATCTGAAATAAATAAACATATCTCATTTATAGGTAAAAGGAAATAAATGTATACAATATAGTAACAAGAAAAACCCACATTAACAAGAGAAAAAGCCCACACATATACGTCAATTGATAGTTGCCAGTGTTCTATATACACTGACATACAAAAATACCATTATGGAAGTATTAAAAAGGATATTTGAGAACCGTTAACCCTGAAAATAATGTATTGCATGCAGGTACAATTACATCTGATGTTTTGATTATTATTGCAATACATGAACAATATAAAAACAATTTAGAAAAAAAGCAAAGAAACTAAGATAAGGTAATAATTGAACTAGCAACTTCATAGATCCTAATTGTTCGATAGTGAGAAATATCTTACTATTCAAACGAGTTTATTTACTATTCAACTTTTGATGCGAATGACATTAACAATTAAATGTAGCCCATTAAAGTTACAGTGACAGAGACACTGCAGAAAAAAAATTAACGATCAAAGTTAACTTTTACATCTTCAAGACGGAACATTTACTTCAATCTGATATCAAACTCTCTCACTGTGCTATTTATTCCTTTTCTTCGCATCTCCTTACAATACATTATTTTCAGGGTTAACGATTCTCAAATGTCTTTTTTGATGCTTCCATAATGGTATTTTAAAAATCCTCTTTACGTGTCTGTCTTGTACAAAATAAATTCTTGTTATTTTATTTGTTCTCGTTTATTGTCTTGTTCATAGACCAGGCCGTTGTTTATTTTTTTTTAGTTTTACTTATTTGACATTTTTGTTCATTTTTTAGGCTTTTTAGATTACTATACGGTATGGGGTTTGCCCATTGTTGAAAGGTAGCTCGCATCCACGTCATATTGGTTCTGGTGGATTTTTGTCTCATTGACAATCCTCCTCCTCCTCCTCCTCCTCCTCCTCCTCATCATCATCATCATCATCATCATCATCAACATCACCATCATCGCCATCCTCCTCCTCCTGCTCATCATCATCATCATCCCCTCCTCCTCCTCCTAATCCTTTACTTCTGATTGTCAATTACAAATATAACCAACGTGTTATGAATTCGCTAATGTACCCTCTTTCATTTCTGACCTTGTGCATATATGCAAAATAAGATAAGACCTAGAACACATTTTTCTGGACAATTGTTAGAACAAGTAGAAAGTTTGCTCAAAACAAAGAAGAAAAAAAACATAACTTGTATGTATTCTATTTTTAAAAAACAGAATATTTTGAGCTTAATTACACATAAACTTAAACTTTTAAAATACCTAGCGGGAAAAATGCATCTTTCTGTATATCCTTCCTTGCAGCTTCAACACAACGTTTCAGAGCAAACAATGCTGACGAACTCATGCATAATGGTGGTTCTCCTACAGCTAATGCAATAAAACGTGAGTGGTTTCAATACTTGTATTAACGTCGTGATATTAAATTATGTACGTAATTCAAATTTAAAAAAAGTTCAATAACTGTTTAGCACACCCCATTTCTCCCACTCTTCCAAAACCATAATCATGAATGTATTCAAGGTATGCTAGAAACCTTCATACCGTTTGCATCTGGTAAGATTGGTTCTAAATAATGACTGCATGAAAGTGTCCTCTACAATACTGATTCTTTTTCCTGGTTTGATTTCGGTACATTTTTAGTTAGATAAGCTCTGCAACATTTGTATTACTAGGTTTTTTATTTTCACATATTTTGGCCTCGAGCATTAGTGAAAAGACATTACATTTGTATTACTAGATTTTGATTTTCACATATTTTGGCCTCGAGCATCAGTGAAAAGACATTAAATGAAAATAACACTGTATGCGTCCGAAGCGATTTTCTGGATTTAACTTCACCACGAACGTCCAAAGCACAAACATTGAAAAGCCAGGGATATATATAAGTAACGAAACACGTGAAGAGCTATATGAACAAAAGGAACCCAAGATAATAGCCAAAATAATTATCGAAATGCGCATCTGATGCCGTAAAAACTGGTACCGTTTATATTAATTTGCTGTTTTCTCTGTTTTTTCTCTCGTTCGGATGCATAATAGGATCTGACTTATACAATGACCGTAAGCTTAGAATGCTGTTTTCCATTTATTTACTTTTTAATTATTGTATAGCCTTTATAGTGTTTCTTTAAATTATTATGCCTTTCTAAAGGCCGATGCAAAATTAAACTATATTTAGAAAATGTATATCAGCACAGTATCAATTTGATATATTAAACACCTCAAACTTGATGCGATATTTTTGGTGGAATCTAAATGTATATGCCCATGAACGAATGAAGATAAGATTAAATCAGTATTCATCTCAACGGACTTTCATATCCTAAATACGTAACCCATAAAACAGTGCCTTGTATTTGTCGTAGAAGTTTAGGTTTTGCACGTTGTTATGTAGAATCATTCTATGAGACTTTATTGTCGAATATAATCCGGGAACATCAATTTGATAACTTTAAATATGTAAAAGTATATCATATCATGACTATTTACACATGTGTAATGCAATACGATTACCTTTTGATCGTAGAACGCCTTTAGGGTTGGGTGCATTCTTTAACAACTGTATTCTAAAGTCAATTGGAATATCTTTGGCCATTGGTGGCTTGTATTCCTAATAGGATTTGATAAATAATTGTTGTACATCACATTCAAATGTCAGTCAAATTATAGATCTTAAATATACTTGACAACATAACTTGCATAGATTGAGAAAAAGTACGGTATTAATTAGATAATTGGCTACAACGACTTATTCTATGCTTGCCTTGCAGGATTAGCGTGTATCTTAATCCTTGTTTCAAAACTGTTAGAACTGAAATACCTGGTTAATGTCATATCATACGGAAATTTGACAATATTGGTCTTTGTTTATTGTAAAAGACTGTGATCTGCTGATGTATTCAACTATTTTACCTTCACTGGTTTGTCGTTGAATGATTTTCATTCCTCGTTAATCAAAACAAATCCCTAAATTTTCAGAAGTGATCAAGTGTAACTTTAAAGATAGAAATTACCGCTGACGTTATTTGAATTGAATGATTGATTGATAGATTGATTGATGCTTGCTTAACGTTATGAAAAAAACAGTAAAAGGATTGAAAATGCCTTTTTCTGATTTTTTATTGATTGATTGATGCCTGCTTAACGTTAAGAGAAACAGTATAAGGATTTTAAATGCCCTTTTTCTGATTTTTTATTGATTGATTGATGCCTGCTTAACGGTAAGAAAAACAGTATCCAGACATGAACTGGTAACATTGTCGTCATATACGTACCATTAGAATAAACTGTTCTAGTTAAGTAATAGTTTTTAGCATATATTAAGTACGAAACGGTAAACTGGATATGTTTTTATGGCATTAACAATTGAAGACTTTCAAATTCATGCACTGTTTTCCGAACATTTCCGATATATCAATGTTCTGATATTACGTCACAGTAAGAGTCGACGCATTTCATTCATAAAAAAGAAACCAAAATTCAATTACAGATATGTTGCTGTATTATTAACTTACCCATGTACTATCAGTCAACAGTCTTCCAGACTGAGGATCAAACTTAACCTGTTCTGTCAGCCAGTATCCAAGTCCCATTACAAAGGCACCCTCTACTTGCCCTACGTCTATCATTGGGTTCATACTAAAAATGATAAAAATAGATATTTTATAATTCTAATTGACTAATTCCATGTTGTTTACATTTATACTTGTTATACATTGTCATTGAAATCACATTTGAATGCCTAGAACCTATTATAATTCATAATTTATAGTAATTATATGCACTGCGTTACTGATTGCGCATTTACCTTTAAAATAAATTATAGAGTTTAAAAATATTTCTCGAATTTCTAAGGACTTTTTGTAGATATAAAATGAGAATAATGATGCACATTCCTTCGGTAAAATCTCAGTGAATATAAAGATATCTACGGTTGCTGTCAAAACAAAGTTTTGTACAGTATGGATGTACCAGACAAATCCAAAAGTCTGATGAAAGAGGCCCAACTCAATGAACCTCAACAATAGAAATGTATTTAACGAGGAGATGTTTGGACAAGTTCGACTCGTAATTAAACAATTATAGATTTCTCCTTTCAATCATTCTAAATGAATTACGATTCCGTCAAGGATATAATAACGCTCCATGGGATTGCAAAACGTTAACAATTTTATTGTTTCCTTTAGATCTCTTGTTCGTCTATATTCTTTTCTTGATGAAACTAACAAAAAAATCACTATGTTGATGACCAATTGAATGTAAATAAATTTTGTTGAAATTCGATACAACTATGACCAATCACGAATCGATTCTTCTTAAAGCGATGGAAACATATAGCTATATTTACCAGTTTGTATTTTTGAAGTTTAATTGACTTTAAAGATAAGACCAGAACAGTAATTTGCACAAAAATCTCTGCCCTCTATTGTCATTAGCCTCTAAATATTGCTCTTTCTATTGGACTTCAAGCTATTGAGACATTTTTACTGAAACAATTGTTATTCATTTGCTAAATACAAACGTAACTTTGTCATAACGACTGGTGAAGATCTGAACAATCTTTTATTAATAAGTACAATAAATACTCAAAGGCCTAAATCAATCATGAATGTCACCAAGAGGAGTAATCAATATATCATTATATATTATTTGGGGAAAATATCAATAAAAATAGACTCAGAAAGCTTCTATTAAATACGCATGCATAAGCTAATACTAACAATGAACACTGTCCTTTCCTGGATCTTGATATCTATTTCTTTAACGGGAAGCTTAATACCAAAATTTTTGATAAAAGAGATGATTTTTCATTTCCTATTGTTAATTATCCATTTTTAGATGGTGACGTTCCCTTGTCACCATCTTATGGTGTTTATATATCTCAACTTGTTCGATTTGCTCGTGTATGTAACAACGTATTTGATTTCAACGAAAGAAATCTCTGTATTACTGAAAAATTATTACACCAGGGTTTTCGATATCACAAACTAGTCAAAACATTTACTAAATTTTATCATCGGTACAAGGACATCATTCGTAAATATAAATCAACATGCAGACATCTTGTACGTTCAGGTATTTCACATCCAATATTTTATGGTAATATTCTGTACAAAGCACAAAAATGTCGGCATTCACCTGAAAAGCTAACCAAACCTTTAAACAGACTTATTCGGAAGGGATATAGTTACTATACTGTTGTCAGATCATTAAGGATTGCATATTTTGGTTTTAATATTGATTCACTCATAGGGTCTTTACATCGGAAATAAACACAATTATTCTAAAACCAGTTGTTGGCATGATACGGGTTATGTTCTTCTCATATATTTTATGATGGTATGATTCTAAACCCCTAACGGGAGAGATTGTACCTGATTTTCATATGATGATGACATAATCTTTCAATCAGTTTAATTGAGGTCTGGAGCTGGCATGTCAGTAACTGCTAGTAGTCCTTTGTTAATTTATGTATCATTGTCATTTTGCTTAGTGTCTTTTGTTACCTATTCTGACATCGGACTCGGACTTCTTTAAAACTGAGTTTTACTGTGCGTATTGCTATGTGTTTCTTTATTCTACATTGGCTAGAGGTATAGGGGGAGGGTTGAGATCTCACAAAACATGTTTAACCCCGCCGCATTTTTGCGCCTGTCCCATGTCAGGAGCCTCTGGCCTTTGTTAGTCTTATATGTTTTTTAATTTTAGTTCATTTATATGTTTTGGAGTTGAGTGTGACGTCCATTTTCACTGAACTAGTACACAATTTTATTTAGGGGCCAGCTGAGGACCACCTCCGGCTGCGGGATTTTCTCGCTGCGTTGAAGACCCATTGGTGGCCTTCGGCTGTTGTCTGCTCTTTGGTCGGGTTGTTCTCTCTTTGACATACTCCCCATTTCCATTCTCAATTTTATAAAAAAATCCCTTCTATTTTCATTTTTTTTTCTTTGTTGATGTTATATTAACTGCATTCAGGGGCGGATATTTCTATTACTCATTTAATTATTATTCTTCGAACACCATAATTTATGGATCTGAGCTTTTTTAAAACAGTTAAAAGTATAACAAAAACACCGAATTCCAAGGTAAATTCTAAAAGGGGAAGTCTATAAAATCTGACAAAATCAAAAGTAATCAACCAACTGACAGAGTGAAATACAACTGTCATATTCCTTACTTGGTACAGGTATTGTCTGAAGAAAATGGTGGGTTTAACCTGGTTTTATAGCTAGTATAAACCCCAACTTGTATAACAGTTGTTTATTGTCTATGTAATTCAGAAACGCACATCAAACGGCGAAAACTGAACGTTTTGAATTAGGTGTTATATGATTCCTTTTGTCTTACCTCTCCCCACAGTCATATAGTAGATCTACTCTATTGATGAGGTATTGACCAGTAAGTACGTCAAATTCTACTTCTGTACATGTGACACCATAGCTATTGTACTGTGGTTCATCCGCAGCCTTACCAGGCTCATAAACACTATGTAATATAACAGAAAATCATTTAAATGTGTAAAAAATTACTTAAGGCAAGTTCAAGAAATTATTTTAAAGTTCCGTACAAATTTCATTCAAATCATCAATATCGCATTTGGCATAGTTTTTAATATGGCGTTTTTAGTAGCAAAATTTATACTTAAAGATTGCAATTACACTCTTTTTTTTTTGGTAAAAGAAATAATACATATATATATATATATATATGTATACTTACAAACAAGTCTAAATTGAAAACAACGTTCACACCTATGATTGCGTTGCATAAAAACCGCAATTTTTATACGTGTGCATGCAAAAAAAAATTCTTGTTAGAGGGGTCTAAATACAGCACAAACAACATTTTCCAAAAGACCAAAAAGGTGAAAAAGTATATTTTAACAAAACGCATTTGACTAACAGGTCGAACCACAAATGTTCTTAAACCCTGCTGACTGTCATTAGCGATTGCCAAATAAACGGATCATCGATGTAATAAATGGATCCTAATTATAAATTTAATACTAAACAGAAAACAATAAACTTACGGAAAAGATGATATACCGCAAACAAAAGGTGCAAAGGTTTTTGTACACCATATCCGGTTTTCGACAATTAATTCAGTGATGTTAGGAATCGAAACGGTATTTGAAAAGCCATACAATTTACCTCAATTTAGGATAGACTCTTAAATTTTGAAAAGTCAAAATAGGATGAACGGATCATATAAACCCGAGCCATACACTTTACCTCAATTTAGGATAGACTCTTAAATTTTGAGGAGTCAAAATAGGATGAACGGATCATATAAACCCGATATATATATATATACTTATATATGTTTTAATACTCTTGATAATTATGATTAATTTTTGAATTTTAAGGGTGTTCGTAAACCCTTTAATTTGGTTTTCAATGTACTCTGTAGTTTACACTCTGCATCTGTTTACATGTACGTAATTAATTGTTTAATACATGCAGTCCTTATTCTTTAAGAATAGATATGGTGTTTTGTCGTTGTATGATCAATTACATCTTCGACATATTGTATCACCAAAGAACTCAGTGCGTCCATACAATTTAATTTTATAGTATTACATAAAAAGGAAAACAGCAATTACCAAAAATACTGGAAAGTACAACCAAGAACATCAGATGACATTCAGATGACATTATCTTTCCATATATCTAAATGCCAAATACGTAAGAGTAACTCACCCTGCCAACAATAAAATAAATTTCATCAATAATTTTCAAAAATGTAAAAGCAAAGGTTTTTAGAGAAGTGAGTTTCTTTCTTTTCAAATATTTACAGACAAGTAGATATAACTTTGGCAATACATTTTAAAAAGTTATAGTAGTTTAACGAATATCTTGTGAACAAGTATAACCAATTTTACCAATATCTTTCCGACAAGTCAACTTTTGCATGTTGACACATCTGTGCCAACTGTGTCCATGTTGGATTTTTCATCTTAGCTTTTACTGGAGCCATTCTTTCTTTTAAAGCCTGACAACAGTTCAAAACAGCCTACAAAATATCAACTACATAAATGATTTACATAGCCGTCTTTGTTATCAAATACAAAAGGCAAACCAAATATAATTTTGAAATTGCCTGAAGTATAATAGAAAAGCTTTTATTTTTAATGTACTCGTAAAGAAGTTATAATGTTTGTCTGTGAGAAAAACCTCACCAAAGATACATGTACGATGCTTTCAAATAGGAAAAATAATTGTAAAATATCTTATGCATTTTACACCTACCAAACAGCATAATTCACTAGTTGTACTGCCACCGCTGGCAAAATCATTGGCATTTGATGTTGTCGTAACTGATTTTACTGTTATTATATCCAGAGGCACTCCAAGCTCAAATGCACACACCTGTGCTACCTTCAATACAGATATATGTTCATTGTTTTTTGTAATTTATAAGCTACACGTATCAAATTTATCTTAAAATGAGTACAGGATTTGAAATACTATTGTCATTTTGTTTTGTAAATAAACGTTTTCATTCTTTTTAAATGCCATATACACAATAAATAAAGAGCGCATATAAATCTAATTTGCTTTTTTCATGAATGTGAAGTAAAAGTAAATGAATATATATAGGGTACCGTCATGTGAATTTTTCTATTGTTCAGATAAGAAGACACATAAGCTTGGAACTAATACTGCTACGCTATTTCTGTATTTCAAAACCAATGTAGTGCCTAAAAATTACGAATGCTGAAAGTATAACTATTCCAAAATTCAAAGTATCTATACAATTCAAAACATTAGCGTACTGTTAGCTGTCTTGATGTTTTCTCTGATCGTTCTCGTTTACTTTCTAGTGTTACATTGTTTTGAAGATTTCTAACTCAATATTTTTATACCTTTGTATTGATTCCTTGTCCCATTTCAACTCCACCATGGGCGATAGATATACTTCCATCCCAGGCATATATATTGACGATTGCATTGTAATGGATGTATGCATATGCGATTCCAAACTTGGCTGGTACTACAGACAAACCCTTTTTCTTCCATCTATTAACCTATATTGTAATATTGATGGGAAAATAGGCAAAGTTCTAATGTGTCAAGAAAAACGTTTATTTTATTATTATTTTTTGTTAAAAAGCTTACAAAAAGACCAACAATAAAAACTGACCACCACGAAATAGCACAATAGTGTTGAAAGAGGCGTTAAACGCCAATCAAACAATAAATACAAAAAGACACATTTTTTTCATTTCAAATCAATATCATGTTCATGTACCTTAAAATGAACATCATATTATAAATGAACGGTTCTGTTCGAGAAAACAAACTAGCATTAACCAGTAAAAGATTATAAAAAAAGAATTGAAGGCCTATGATGGATTTTCCTAAATATATCACCTGGTTGAAAGCTTTGATAGAGTCCTGTCTCTGTGTTATTCCAGCGGATGTCATTAGGTCTGTTGTAAGTTGTCTGATATTACAGTATGGCAATGGTCTATTTGATGGTGTGGTCTTCAAGTAAAACAGCATAACATCACTCAACAAGTAAAATAGCCTCATACATGATTATTGGCAATTGAATGTTTATTTTATTTATTATAATTTCTAACTGAGGGTACATGATGCATGCAAAGCAAGAGACGTTTACCAATGCGACACACACAGTTTCGCCTCTTTTGAGTTATTGCATTGTACTCATGGTTTGTTTTAACTTAATTTGTATCTTAAATGGATTAGTGAGATTTGAACATCGGTAAACTAGTTTTGTTTCTCATGTGTATGACCTGCTTTGTATCAAATTAATTTAGAATTAATTCACAAACATTCTAAATCTGGTTCAGATATTTACGTTTGATATTCTGCATTTAAACGTTTTATACGAAAATCTCGTTTCAAAGTTGTACAAGTATTTTCTTAATGTTGTTGATATATATCCTACCAGAAATAGGATATATACGCGTTAAAAAATTTTGTATCCATAATTTTATTACCTGTCCTTTGTTGTAAAGATTTAGTACCCTAACACTTGTTGGGTCCAGATTTAATTCCTTGGAAATATGTTCCATAACTGATTCTATGATAAAAATTCCTGGTGCCGAATCTAAGATACAAAATGTAGTCATTACAACATTACAACGTGCCTTTAACGGCAGATGAATATGACATTGACGAACAAGCTCGTGTGGAGATAAAAGGGGAATGCCCTTAAGCTTAAATCGCAAAATACGTGTTGCATTTAAGTTTTGCTTGCTTTGTTACGGACCGAAAAACGAAACATGATTGCCCTTGTTATTACAGTTCCTTTATTGCTTTAATCTTTTATTTTTGATTTTCTAATATATCAGTACAACGAAGTACACAGTACTTTAATGATTTTAAATTGACCCAAGGATTCACTTAGGAGACATTTTCTAGTGAAATGTTCATTTGATTTTTCAAAATTAGTACTGTAAAACGGTAAAGTCTGGTCTTCCTGTGAAACACTCATATACGCTTCACAAAATTCCGTACAAACAACGGTACATTGCCGGCTCATCTGCATGTTCGACTAAAGAAATGTCCATTAGATTGACAAAATGTCTGTCCGCAGTGAAAGAGGGTCTTCAGAAATACTGTGAAACTGTTTAGTCGCGTTGTGGTATTAACCATACGTGGATTTTAAAAAAACTCTAAAGACCTTCTGGATAATTTTAAATCTCGATCTTTTTCTGAAATGAGTTCTAACAAACTTTTGATTTTTTCAACCCTGTATACCACCATTCCCCATATGAAATTGAAAAGTCGTCTAAAAGAAATAATCCACAATGCTGTTCAACATAAAATGGTAGCATACGCTATAAGTTTATTAATTTGGGATACCATACGGCATATTTTGTTAATAGTGAACAAAAAGGTAAAACATGCTACACAGATTATAACACATTGTTGACTGCTGTACCTCGATTTTTGACATTTTTACCTATTATGCCTGTTTGTTTTGTTCACACATCGTTGTCAATATAATGGAATTTTATGCGACTGTCATACAAGTGAGAGATTTAGCTAGCTATAAAACTAGGTTTAATCCACCATTTTTCTCCGACAAAAGTCTGTACCAAGTTAGGAATATGACAGTTGTTATCCATTCGTTCGATGTGTTTGAGTTTTTGATTTTGCCATTTGATTAGGGACTTTCCGTTTTGAAATTTCCTCGGAGTTCAGTATTTTTGTGATTTTACCTTATACGCAGCGTGTTCGTCCTTCACTTCATGGTTTGCATCCGTGAAAAGAACAAGAGGAACGCTCGAGACAAAATGTTTCTTATGCCAAAACAAAATGAAGTACAATGTTTTCACAAGACGAAATTTACGCTTCAGAAACATATACTCTGATTAATATAATCCTTACCTGGTGCTCTACAAAATGTATTAACAGGTTTGTTCGTCCTGACGGTCTTTGGTGTTACATTCCAATTGTCACAGAAGTATCCTGTGTGTGTGTAAAACAGTGTTGATTTATATTTGTGTTTAAATTAATTAGGTACACACACATGTACATTAATATTCGAGGCTTTCGAGTGTTCGCCTTACAACAATCTTATAAAAGATAAAACAAAAGAGTTTTTTAAGAAGTATGAATGCTGGTTAAGATAGGTTGTACTTCTACAAATCAGTGAAACTATATTTTTGTATATATGTTCCCAACTATAATCATTGGTAGTGTTGGTAGAAAATCAATTATCAAAAGTCACATTCTCAAGTTAATGGCGAAGTGGATAAGCATACATCGTTTGATCCATTACGGTTAGTTTGATGTTTAGTTGTTTCATTGGCAATTATTCCACATCTCCTTTGCGAGATAAGAAAATAAGATACTATAATAAAAATTATTCATGAAGACCAAAAACATTGTTAAATGATAGTTTTAGTCGTTGTTCCAAAATACCTCAGATGTGTAGTTTGGGCGTAAAATTGGCGTCAAAACTTATTTTCCTACGTTCAAAACCCCATAAAACATACGATATGAGCATGGGAAGAGGGTTGTTTACCTTCATAAACTATAGACCAAAAGTTAAGAATTGAATTCTGTCAGGGAAATATCCAATACCAGAAAAATAGCATTCTCTGTGATTTGAAACGAAATAAGCTGGAAGATACTATTCCAAAATGGGAGGGTGGCATTAGGAAAAACTGAAATTTATCATTCAAGTTATTCATTTAAAGTACAGTGTTTCAACTTTTTGGAATTTTGAGAATCCATTTCAGATTGACACCAATTGTTGTTCTTTGAAAGCATTGCTTTATCGGAGGGTAAATATGTGTAAGCATCTCGGAAAAGATTTGAACATTTAGACAATCCTGCTATGTTGCGTTCTTTATAAAGTGACATTTACGTATTCAATATTTGAAAGTCAGATTTCCATACTTCACTTTGATATTTGCCTACATGTGATTTACATTATTTTATATCTTTACTGTGACGGAATGACGGTGGGAACGTTGCACTACAAAATTCATGTATATTAAAACATTTAAACTAGGCATTAAAATGGCGATGTTTGCTAATTAAACACTATCTTGTCACTTTTGTAAGCTGGAACAGCATGATACTGATCATTCAGACTGTTTTGGGCATGCACCACCTCTGTGTAAATATAACAATTACACTTTGTCACTAAGCGAATGTAGATGTATTACTATTTTTTCTATGAAGACTATCGGTAGTTTGAACGACAGATCGACCTATTTAGTATTATATACAAAGTGCTAGGTCCATTGAATCTCCTATTATATATTGTAATTTTTAGTGGAGTCAATAAACAGTCTTATAAACCCCTTTGGATGAACACATCAACGGAGATTATCAATAATTTGAATATATGCCTTCCAAGGAAAATCATTTTTTATCATTTTACATTGAATAACTTTTAACAAATACTGGTTGTTTGACTGTTTGTTTACTCCTATTGTCCCTGGACTTCCGAACATTGACTTTGACATGACGTGTATTATAGTTCTTTGGTAATTCTTCTAAAATGATTTGTAAACATGTGTCTCGATATGTAGTTTCGAATCGGTGTTTAGTAAATGTTTAAATTTTTAATATTATCAGAAAGGATAAAATGCTTATACAACTATCAAAGCCGTTAATTGTTAACTTTTTCATTTTTCATATAATTGTTTTACCGTTATCAATATGTCCAAATACACCATTTAGCGGATCTTCATTTCCAAGGTAACCAGAGTCGCTATAAACTGTCATTTTGATACCGTTTAATTTTCCCTGATCGGTACACCCAACCTGTATGTATAATGTAAACATATCAATCGAAAAAAAACATAGGCATTGCACAGAGATCAACATTCTTGCGCATGTCAGTAGGAAACAAAATGTTCAAGTCCATACTGTGTTATGTAGTTAGTTCATAGCACATGTACACAATAACAAAGAAACAGAAAGAAAAATGCTTAATCTTTTACGTCTTTAAAAAGTGAATATAATCGGATGCAATGAAAGAGTTAATGTGCTTGAAAAAGTAAGACCAAAAAGATAATAAACTTGAATGACACGTACCGTATAGTCCGCTCTGTAGGCAAATCTTCTCCCAACCATTCTCATGTTTGTATGAAACTCCAAATTTAGTTTGACTGGCCTAAATATAGTCAAAAATGTGTCCTGGGAAAGCTATTATCTTATACAATTCAAATTTAATATACATATCTATTTAAAATACCGAAATTATTGAAATTTTTGTGACCACATCAATTTTTAAATGTATAATATTATCCAACTGACAATCATAAACTATGTCTTGACAATCTCATGTATGGTAATTCACATACAGATAATGACTTCTTATACACATTTGGTTTTGTTTTAAGTAGAGTAGATATTGGAGACCTTTACTCGCGGAGGTTCAATAACAACCACGCGAATGTGAATCGTCTTCATACACAAATACAGGTTCTGTTTGCCATGGTCATGTCTTAATTGGATACATAAGCATCGTAAGAACATCGGCTCCGTCGTATGGCGTTTACGTATATCGGTTAATACGTTACGCCAAGTTCTTAGTTGATTTGATTTTCCAGCTGTTTCGATTCGAGCCTCACAGCTAGAGTATTAAAGAGATTAAGATGCGTCTGGGGTACTAAAAAATCAGCCTAGTTTCTTTGTTGATTTTCTAAAGCACCAAAAAATTTCAAATAGTATTAATTCGGATGGTGTAAAATAATTAAAAATATCAACATATTTAACCCGGGAATAGATGGCCTTTGTCAGATTATGCACACTTTTCTTTTATAAATGCTTGTTTGCAATGCTCCTGCAATTCTTAATTTAGGCTGTTTTGATTCGGGCGCATCGTATGAGACTTTTATAGACGAATAAAGAAAAAAAGCTAAAGCAATTTTTGTACATTTAAATGTTCATACTATACAGATTTCAGACAGAGTGTTATTTTTAAGCGATGAATTTCAGTTTTTTCGTAGGTTTTGTTTTTGTCATTTTTATATATACAAATGAAAATGACCAATAAATATTTTACCTATTCATGATATGAGCTGTTAATGCACAGCCTGCAGCTACTATACCACTCCTTGTTAATTTTGAACCATATGCTCCACCCAGTCTTTTAACCGTCACATTTACCCTGAAAAACTTTCATGATCTTTACAGGGAAAGCTTAGATATTTTGAACAATTAAAAATGTTTTTTACCTACTGCATTCAAATATCGATTTGTTATTCCACATATATGAAGCAAAACCATTAACGTTACCAAATTTTCTACACCAGATACGCATTTCGACAATAATTGTCTCTTCAGAGATGTTCGAGGACAATATATTTGGAAATCAGAAACTTGAGGCCAATATATTTGAAAATCAAAAAATTGTCATAAAAATGAAAAACTTGAATACAATAAAGGTTGCAGTCTTGTAATTGACTGCTTCATAGGCTTACGTGCTAAACAGCTGATCTTTGAAAATAAAAAAAAATAAAAAATGCTACATAGAAAAAAAATTTCATGTTCATATCATGTATGTTCTAATGTGGAATTGTGATTAAATCGAGAAAAAAAAGTGGGTCATGGCACGAAGAAAAAAAATTTATGTATCCCTGAAGTCAAAACTATTTTTTTTCTACTTTCTGTTTGCTGTTTTTACTAGGCCGCACCACTTCCAGTAAACATAATATCCTTCCACTTTCCTGGATTGATATCCCCAAAAAGATGCAAGTTTTTTTTTTAAATCTATATATATGTTTCAATTCAGTATAATTGCTTTCCAAGGTACCAGGCTTATAATTTTATAAACTTTTAATCAAACAGACAAAATTGAGTCCAGAAAAAAATGAATAATTTTATATCCCTCCATCTTTTGACATGTACCGGAAACTGGAGTTGTAATACAAGACTGGTACCTAAAAGACAAATGTCTTTTTTCAAAGCTCACTTTATTCTAATTAATTTTAATAGATGGAGTGAACCACCTACCTAGTTTTATAATTTGCTTTAAGTTTTAAAATAACCTCAGTATGCAATATATGAAGGGGTGCATCTTCTTTGAAACACCATGAGACATGCAGTTTTAAAAGAACAAAGTTCATTCATGCATTCTTTTTACTCAGCCTTTGGTTTATAAATGCAGTTTTTTGAAATGTGTAATTTGTCTTTTCGCCGTTTTTTATTTTTAAATTTCGAACTCACAAACAACAGCCTACAAAACATGAGTTAGTAAACAAATGACAAATCAACACGAATCCAAATGAAAACCAATGGGATATCAGATACTCCGAAAGATAAGCAGCTCCTGTTCTAATTGTGGCACCCGTAATGTACAATGTAGAAAAATATAAAATATTCAATTGCATTTTTTAAAATTTTGGTTTATATACCTGCTTATAGGTACACCTAAAACGTTCGAAACAACTTTTTGTGTAGCGTCTAACCATTGCGTAGCGGCTTCTACATCCATCCCTTCAGCTGTTGGTCTGCAGTAACTGATCTATGGAAAATAATAGAATTAGCTCTGCTTATTAATGAACTTCAAACACAGATATTTTGCTTAGTGTTATCAAAATTGATGAACAAATTCAAATACCAAGTATATAGCTGTTTTGATACGATTTATCAACAGACTCAGCTATTGATGAGATCAATATGCTCGATTAGTCACACCAATCAAAATCATCTTTAATCAAAATTTGAAATTTCGCACAGTTCAGATACCTTACTAAAGGAAACATGCTTCGAACAATTCAAACACCTTACTAAAGGAAAACATGACAGTAACATTGGAGTGCTTATAGTGCTTTTCTAGATTAATTGAAAATATATTGTTGGTATGTGTTCCGGGATTTTAATTACTAGGCCTTTTATCATTGCTGCTGATAGAGTTTGATAAGTTTGACCTATAATATCGAACAAAAAAATTCTCTTTCTTGTATGGAGTTTTGATATGAATAATATTGAAACAATCCTTTTCGTCATAATACAAGTTCCATAAAAAAAAATGATATTGACATTAAAATGCATCCGAACAAAACGGTATGTTAAGATATCCGAGCCGGTAGGAAAGGTTTGTAATGAATAGGAAAATACCACTTTTCCAATGTTTGATACTGTCATATACTACGATCTGAAAAAAAATCTATTGTGAAGATATTGACGTTTATCACTGTAATGTTATATCTTTATATAATTTGAAAAAAACTATATGCTTTGGAGTCGTAACAAACATTTAAACAAACCTGCGTTTCCGAATTTCATAACACAATACTTCCGTATAAACATAATGAAATGAAACAAGTAATGATATAAGATAAACAATTTACCTTTACAATATTTCATTCAATCAATTGGTATTAATACCGATTACGAATATACTATGCAAAGCTGTTGTGCTGACCACCGGCATTTTTTTTTAATATTTTGTCTGCTATCTCATTATCATATAGACCAAAACTTTAACTGTTTTATAACGTATAAGATAATAGGGATAAGATAAAAAATATTAATATCCTGATAGCAAACACTGAAGTTGACATTTTTACTTGTACAGTGCAAAATCAGGTATACCAAATGACTGCATGAAATTTGAAACTTAAATAATTATTATATCATAATAGGTAAACATATTAAACTGATAAAAAAATATTCCGGTAATGGTTTATTAATGTTTAAAATGGAATCATTAAATTTTCGTTAATCATGCATGCATATTCTCCTCCATAAACCTGTATCTTACTTTGAGCATCTCCTTTTATCAACGGTTTTGTTATGACGCTTGGGATGAACGAGCCCTGCTTTATGCCATCCTCTATAGAAAGAATTGGTGTCTTCTGATCTGAATACGTCACTTGTACTTGTGCAGCAGCTCTGTTTGCTGTTTCTTCGTCCACTGGAATTCAGATGTTTAATTCAATATCAAGAAATCATCAGCAGCAAATTCTTGGCAAATGAAACGCAACAACTCTTCATTATTAGTGATTAAAATCTGTTATAAATTAATCTATTAATTCTAACATGTTAACAAAATGTCGTTAAATTTTGATTGTAAATACTCATTTCTTAACTTAAAATTTGTTTTTACATTCAAATATATGATGTTTATTGGACACAATTGGAGTTAAGTTAAAAAAATGAAAATTGAACCTAATACAAAATGTTTGTTTATTCAGATTCATATTCAATTAATATGATTTTTTTTTCAATCTATAGGATATTAAGCATGTATTCTAATACATTTTTTTAGATCAGTTGTTGATACCGAAGACATGTGTTAAAAAAGTAAAAAGTGTTATAATAACATCAACGGTTCCAATTTTACTGCACCAGATGCACATTTTGACAATTAATGTCTCTTCAATGTTGCTCGAAGTAAAAAGAAACTGAAAGTCAAAAACATGCTATGAAAAGCTGGAATGCAAACGAAACCAAAAAAGGACAATAATAAAGAAAGCTAAACCTAGACAAGAATTGGGATGAGGTAGATACTTCATTTATTTAAGATCATTTCGCATTTATAGCAGGAAATTTCAATAAAACAATGTCCATATGTCCATGCCAGTACCGCAGTATTAGCTAACTGGTCGACCAGCAGCGGTATCGACCAATTTGTTAGCATAACATAAACGATACCAATTTTACTACACCAGATGCAAATTTCGACAGTTAATGTCTATTTTATATGAAGATTACTTATGACAGATTTATTATCTCTTTGCTTAGTGTTTAGAAAAAGGATTTATCTGTTTTCATTTTCATATGGAAAATTTATTTTGGTATAAGAAAATAAAAAGAATATTAAACAATACACAATTTTCCATATATAACATTCGTGTAATGGATCCGGAGGACATACCTGCCACAATAATGGCTAACGCTTGACCAGCGTACATCACATCACCGCCACATAGAACCTATATAAATAAAACGTATAAAAAAATTATCTAGGGGCATACAAGGAATATGATGAACTAATTCAAAAAAATCCAAAGCAAAGAAACAGTGTTATGTTTCAACTATCTTTCATTAGCAATTGAACATTTAAATCTTAACAGAAGCATACCATTTTTTTTGGCAAAATGAATTGTTGCACCAGTTTCTTATGAAATTCTTATTAAATGCCGATACAATATGTAGCACAGGTGTAACCCTCTTCTATTGGGCCTTATTCATACTGGGATCTGGGGCTCTCAAAAATGTTTGGATAATCATTAACGTTCTTCTATTAATTTAGGTGCCTTTGGTCATATAGCTTTACATGTTTCTATATACATCATTGATTATCAACTATTTGGTTTTCAGCGTTTTTAGTGTTATTTTCATTTTTTTCGCGCAACAAGGGACGTACCTTGTAGCAAGAGTAACGTCAACCAGTCCCCATACCTTTGAATTCCTTTTGAGGACAACATAAGTCGACTTTTAGAGATTAAAAACATTAAAAAGATTTCGATTCTCTGATAATACTTAGCTTTCTACAATATGCTTTCGATGATCACAAAATTGACAAAAATAATGTGCATATGGTCCTAGCTTTGTCCCCTTTGTGTGAAAAGGCTCTTCAAATATCGTAATATGAATATAACATGGTGGTTTTGTTCTTTAAATGTATCATTGACTCTGTAGTGGAAAACTTGCTTTCATAATATTCATTCGATATCGATAACTAGAAAATGTTCAGTTATATTACAGAAAGATATGAAATGTATTCACCACAAAGATATGAAATCTTTCCCCCAAAAAATAAAAAATGTAATCACCACAAATATAAATCATGTAATCACCACAAAGATAACGAATGTCTTTACTACAAAGATATAAAAAATTTTCAATAAAACTTTATATAATGCATTCACCAAAAAGATATAAAATATGTTCACCAAAAAGATATGAAATGTATTCATCACAATTCACATCACAGATATACCATGCATGCATTAACTATAAGATATAAAATGTATTCACCAGAAACATAATATGTACATGTATTCACCATAAAGATATAAACTGTACTCTTATCTTGGGTTATTCTCTCGATGCAGTTCCTTGAATTGATTTGCGTCCACATATTTACACTTTCGGATGGCTTTTCTTTTATGTGAATCAAGAAATCAAGAAATCAATCAAGAGTATTTGCAGTGTAACAGAATGTGGTTTAAAGAGTAGAATTATATAAACCATTGACTTACTTCTTCAGGAGAAGTAGGAATGCCTGGAACTAATGCAACACAATCATTTTTCCCGGGTATGTCCTTGGCTGTTATGAATTTCAATACTCCTGGAGTACTCTAAAATGTTATTAATACAGCTAAAATTTAATCATTTATCAAATTAAATCAATATACATTTAATGGTCACAATGACGAAATGGTTGACCTGTACGATATGTTTGCTTTTCAACTCACTAGCGATATGTTTTCGAATGTGTTGTGTTCCCAATTGTTACATTAATACACAATGTCGATTCGAATGTCAGGTGATGCATTTAAAGCAGGAGAATTTAGCCAGTCAACGCACCAAATCTCGCTTTTGAAGTTCATGCAATTTAAGGTAGATGGGGTGTCTAAATTATAATCCATAGAATTTTTTAATAATTTGCCAAAATGTAGTTTATTTCATGCTTTTTTAAAAAAAATAATAAAAAGAATGGATCACTGGGCTTATTTTCAAGCTACAGGTTGTGCAAAATTGACAGATTTTTGTATAGATTATGCATGAAAAACCCAATTTTCTGCCATAAAATAAAAACTACACCATAGAATTTTGAGATAAAATATGAGAAGATAGCTCTAACATTATGCTTTCAGATAAGAAAAAGAAAAAATGGGGTCACGGGACCCGTTTTCTTGCTACATAATAAAATAGGTAAATTCCTAACCCATTCTATTGTAAAAGTAACTTTATCTGAATTATCTGCCCTTACATTTGAGTTGCCTCCCCTTATGTGACAAAGTTGGAAAAAATTAAATCAAACAAAAGTATTCTGTTTTTTGTAAAATACAACCATAAATATGATAAAACATGTCATTTTCTATATAGAAATGAAAATTCTTACACATGAATTACCGACTACTCTCAAAATTTGCACATTTTATTAAAGATCAAGACCGATTGTTTTCTGGTATTTCAAAATCCAAGATGGAGGAAGACACCCTAATTACCTTAATCAGTTTTTTGTTTGTTTCCTTGATTAGTCTTAATAAGTTTTGAACATCAATAAACTACTATTGCCTCTATTTGAATTGCAACTTTCCATTTTCAATGAAAAAGGGTAAAGAGATACAAATGGTGTCAACCAAAACCATAAATCCAAAAACGACAAAGGAGCTATTCTATGTCTCATATATGATAACTGAAGTGCAATTCATATATCCGCCTATATGCGTGTCAAGACATCATTTTGCTGACGTACCAAATTTTTAAGGGTTATTTTCATTTTTATGCATTTTAAATTTCTGAACTTATAAATTACCAATGCTTTCGTAGGATCCATGCTCTGAAGTTTTGCATTTCCAACCGTGCTAGTGACAAAAGCAGCATACAAAGTATCTTTATATTCAGGAATATCGTTGATATATTCTGCTTTTCCAGTGCACTGTTTTAAAAAATCATTTTACAGTGAATGGTAAAATCCAGGATATTAATTACTACAATTTATGATTAAAGCTTTTAAACAGTGTTGATTTTACATAACTGACCCACCTTACGAATGTTGTGGATGCTGCCAATCAAATGTTTTTTTTTATTTTTCTCAGTGGTCTTAGCTGTCCTACTAAACAGCATGCTTTCATTTCTTATCTTCAATGTGAATGCGAGTACGTTTTATGGACAATACAATCTGAGGTTTGCCTATTCGATGTTTTTGTCACTTAGTCTACCTAAATATACTCGGATCTAAAACGAAAGATTATTACATATTTGTAGTTTGTTTCGTTTCAAGTCATCGTACTTAAATATTTTCCAGATGTATTTCATCTGTTAAAAAAAAAACTGTAAATAACTCGTTTGGATCATTGTATGATATAATAATTCTTACAAAATATATTTAAGGATGTTCGCACCTCTGATTAAAGATTACAAGCTTTTTTAGGACTGTTATAAATTCATAGTCTATAAATGATAGAACTAAAAAAGCAGAAAAAAAACATATAGGCCTGTTTTCTTGTTTTTGAGAAAAAAAGCCATCGAAAATTTGGCGAGAAATGAATCTCTCTAGATTATCCATATATTTTACATTGGTACCTTTTTTCTTTCAAAACCTATTAAGAATAACAAAGGTTTTTTTTATAAGATTTTTTTTCTCGGGAAAAACAGTTTTTAAAACTATATGCATTTAAATTATGAAAAAAAGTAGAATTGAGCCGGACAATTTGTAGAAGCACTACGTGGATAAAAGCAGAGGATTCCAAATATCTAGCACAAAATAAAAAAAATAAGAGCAGCAAACATCATTTGAAATTTTTAAAAGCTTACGAGTATAACATTGAATCTGAAGAGCCAGATCCAAAATTAATAGGATTGCATAATATTGCACTATTGCAAAAACAAAAAAGAAAATGAGATAATACAGCTGATCTAGTCGTCTCTTCATTAAAAAAACAAATTGTAAGATTTGCATATTATATAGATAATCAATGAAATATTACCTGGTCGAGAGCCTCTAATTTGATCAATGGTTCCGTAAGTGGCCATTCCATTGGTTTTGTGTCATATGATTGTTGTCCTGATGAAAGTGGTCTTAACAATGGTATTGCACCACTTTTATAAATAGCCCCTGCTGTATCACCAACAGCTTCTAGAATAAACTAAACACAATATTTATTTTTTTATTTGTATCATTATTTATTTATTTATTGTAATCTTATTTTCATTTTAACTGAATGATTTAATTTAAAAAAGTTAAGATATTTTGAATAATAACCGTAAAAATGTAGTTTAAATAAAACACAGAAATAACGCGAAAAAGGAAACAAATTCAAAATATATACTATTATTATTTATTTCCAGTACTTAATTAGACTGCTAGTGTAACAACGACCAGAAAATATGCCTTTGATGTCAAAGCGACATATCCACTATTTTCCCATATATCTGTTTATGAAATGAACACTATAAATTACAGCTTCTTGAAAGGTCTAAAGTCAATTAATTGTAAACAAACTCATCATTATTTCAAAATTAATTATGCATACGCTGTAGAGGTATCCGATTGCTACATTCTTTCTGTATCTCACACTAGGTTCTACGGCATCTATATTAGGATCAGGATTTAGTTCTGACGCAAGTGTGACTATAGCTCCTGTAGAGATAATAATTGAATACGAGTACTTTTTATAGTAGTATTTGATTGTTAAAATCCTTGTAAATACTGATTAGATACTAACGTATTGAATACAAATATAAACAAAATCATCAAAGCATAAGCAATAAAATTAATAGTGATGAAAATTAATTTCTCAAATTAAAAGAAAGAAGAAAAATATGCTGTCAAGTAAGTTGGTATGTTTCCTGTTGCTTAACTTTTTAAACAAGAAGAAGTGGTACGATAGCCAATGAGAAAACTCTTCACAAGAGATCAAATGACACAGAAATTGACAACTATAGGTCACCGTACGGCATTCAACAATGAGCAAAGCCCATACCGCATAGACAGCTATAAAAGGCCCCGGAAATGACAAATGTAATAGTGTAGTAACAGTACAACATAAGAACAAACTATACAAATCAGTTGAAAATAGCTTAACTCATCAGATGGATACTAATAGAAATATATCTAACAAAAACACAGTACTTGTACATCCCAATAACAAAACAACAATCACTAAATACAAATCTGAGAGTACTAGCAGTTACTGACAGCTAGTTCAAAGCCAATAACAACTTATAAAAAAATGCATGCATCAAAGAACAAATACCTAGTATGTTAATTATCTTCTTTTATTGAAATAAATATCGTCAACTATATCTATAACTATATATTTGACTTACATACAAACATGGTGAGTAAAACAACGTCAATTTTCTAAACAATATAAGCATGTCATGTCCATTTTTTCCCGAACTTTAAAAAAAGGACGAAAAGGGAGGCTCCCCGAGCTTTTCTCCTGTTTCGTAGCAAGTACAAATGAATTTTATATTTCCGACAATGTGCATATATTGTTTTATCCTGTAATTTACACTAAGCACTTTTAGGTTCAGTTGTATAAACCCAAATAGCTGTCTTTAATTTGTCAAAGAAACGACATTGTTTAAACGCGGACAACGAAGAGAACCCCAAAACTAACTTTTGCGCAAAAAGAAATATCAACATTACCGTTTGCTCAACATTGGAGCGGATTTAAAGGAGACTTTATTTATTAGAGCACAATACAGCAAAGCATTATTTGTGTATCTGTTATTTGAACAATGGTTTGGCAGATTGCAGGATAAAACAAATTGTTTGACAACACATCAATGCCTGTACCAAGTAAGGAGATATTTGTTTTCTATTCGTTCCGTTGGTTGGTATATTCTAACATTTGATTTTGAAGATTTTATGGATTAACCTTGGAGTTCGGTATTATTGTGAATACATTTGTATTTGTTCTAACGATAACAAAAACGGCAATCCTTTATATATGTGTTCCAAGTTTCTTATTATTAGTTTTTGAATGTTTTACGAAACAGTTAAGCCATTCATATTTCCAATGCCAAAATATGTCCCTTAAAGTTTTAATTTGTAATAAATATCTATTGTTCAATAATGATGATACCTTGTATAACATTGATATCTTCCAACGATTTTCCTTGTAGATAGGTTTCTGTCTGTACAGCATGGACCTTTACATAAAAACAATAATAATGGTGATATTTAGGACCTCTTATAAGAAAAGAATTTTTGAAACTCGTCACTTGTTATGAAATATATAGAAGCCAATTTGTTCTAGTTAAATGTTAACTTCACTATCTATGGAGGTAGAATTTATTTATGTATGTATGGTATTTGTATTCCCACAAAAAAAAAACAGTGGGTAAAAAGACGCAATTAGAAATTAGAAATACATTTCAAGGAAAAGATATGTTTTACAGTAAATGAAACATAAATAACATGAATTCCTGTTTAATTAGATCAAGCAAAGTAAAAAAAAGTTTAAAAAATGGCTTGTTTCTTATCTTACACAAGGATACTAATTGAAACATACAAAGTCTTTCGATACTCCAGAGAAAACCATACATGGCTTTTCTGTCACCATAACTTTTGGGTTTGCAATCTTCATCCTTATACCAGCATTAATGTAAGAGTGCGAGTTCTGGAATATAAGATAAATGCTATTGATTATAATTTCAGAAATAAATTATAAAGTACTCCTACAGATCAATTTAAGTAAGTAACAACACATTGATATATGTATTTGTAAACATAACATGGATGCGTTGTTCTACCTTTCAATAAAATATGTCTTTAATTGGCATTTCCGAAAAAGGTTTATCTAAAGAAACAACCAAAAGATAGTTCATTTATTATATTAAACTCAACAAAAACACAATGTACAATACCACTTTTACATAAAAGCAATAAAGCGATTGTATAGCAGGAGACCCTTGCCCTGTTCACAATATCGGACTCATTCCTTTGGGAGTTCGTGCGATTTCCGTAGGTTTTGTGCATTACCTTGATTTGTATCTTCTTAATCGATTAATGAGATTTGATCAACGGAAAACAACTGTTGCTTTACTTTTTTTAAGTTATCTCGACGATTTGACCCAAACAAATCATAGAACATTTTTGTAGCGTTTTTACCATTTCAAACATCTTTGTGTATACTACTTAAAGATATTTATTAATTATTAACCTCTACTCTTTGTGCGACTTTATACAATCTGACCATGTAATCATCGGTCATAGCTGGTACCTCCATGGCAACTATTACTTTGTTTGTCATGTCTGTTTTAAGGAACTGGCTGATTGGTATCGTATTAGATCCGTTACTATCCGCTAAAATAGGTGTGAAGTGATATTTGAATCGTAATTTCAAAATGTATAAAGGGGTACAAGTATAATAGAATGGTAATGATACATACAAATATATCCAAATGTATCAGACGAGGCTGATAATATCATGATGTTGACCTTAAATTAGTCTACATAAAATCAAAGAAAATAATTTGAAACAAATTTTAAAACAATAACAGATTGGAAATTTTACTTTTTTGTTTACTACATTAGGTATACAAAATTCTATTTCATTTTGGGAACTAAAATCCAATGCTTGGTAGAGGTTAAAACTTTATGTAGAAGTGATGACTGAATGGTATTCTTGTGACTAATCTGATTTTTTGTTTTAAAATTATGTAGTGAGGGATGATTTATTTAAAAGGTGAAAGAAAAAAAGCATCTATGTATATTTGTAGTTAAAACTATGACATTTTGCCACTATGAGCAATGGATCTCTTTAACAATTTTGTTACTGTACCTATGATAAGCTTAACGTTTGCTGATTCCAAAGAAACGTAGACATCTGACTGAAATTCAGGATGGAGGTGTTTCATCATTAAGTTTCCTGCCCAGGACGCCATCTGTTATGTTAAATTCGAATAGTTATATGTACGTATCAAAAATGATTCATAAGTGTTAATCTTATATTTTTTATCCATTCATGTGAGTATTTTTATTTTCAATTATCAATAAAATACATTAACACAATATTTTTAAAAATTGCGTCTGTCATAGAAGCTTTCGTTAAAATTAAACTGGTTTCGTTAAAATCAAACTGCACCTGTCCTACGTCAGAACCCTGTTGTTCAGTGGTTGTCATTTGTTGATATGGTTCATAAGTGTTTCTCGTTTTTTATATAGATTAGACCGTTGGTTTTCCTGTTTGAATGGTTTTACACTAGTCATTTTGGGGGCCCTTTATAGCTTGCTGTTCAGTGTGAGCAAAGGCTCCGTGTTGAAGGCCGTACTTTGACCTATAATGGTTTACAAATTGTGACTTGAATGGAGAGTTGTCTCATTGGCACTCATACTACATTTTCTTATATCTATATATTTTACAAAGTATAAATCATTATCTCATTTATTTGACTGAATGTACTCGTTAGTAGAGTATGGTGTGTTTTGGGAGATAAATATGTTAATTAGTTACTAGCATATTGATGGAAACCCCACATTTTCTTTAACTCGTGTTAAAAGAGAAAATTGATAGTGGTTACAAATTTGAATAAAAAAAATCTATATTATAATGATGATAATGATCATCTGTTTTAAACTATTTAAACTACAATTTATTTACATTAACCTGCTTGAACAAATTCATTACTTGTGCAGTAAAAAAGATTAAAAATACAAATTCTCACACTTCGGACAGATGTTCCAGCAACTCTTTTTAGCATGTCTCGTATGTGTACAAGGTAACCAAGTGATGGCTCTTGTTGGGATCTTGTAAGTACATCAATCAATTGGTTAATGGATAAACCAGCACCAAGTACAATTGTTGGATCAAACTACAATCATAAACGTTGTCATCAATGATAAACCATTTATTTTACAGTGCTTTGGAGTGATTGAATGGTCTTAATCTGGTCTTGAAAAACAATGTCAATCAAATTAAATGTTCTTGTGTTAAAATCAAAATTCACATCTTTGAATTTTATACAGTGAGAATAGAGTTTAATAATAGTTTTTAAAAATTGTATGATAATCATACGAACAATTCCTTTTCTGAAAAAAAAAAATGTTTTAAGATCGCTCGTGACCACAGGTTTAAAACCAAATATATAAAAATTGATTCAGAGCATACGAAATTAAAAGGTTCTACATAGAACAAGAAAACCGTTTACCACAAATAATTAAGTTCAGGTTTCCTTAAAAAAAATAAAACTGTCAATGTCATACTTATGTAAACATCATCATCATCATCATCATCATCATCATCATCATCATCATCATCATCATCATCATCATCATCAATAATAATAATAATAAACATATCGCAGTTTCAAATACATGTATGCAGCGTAACATACAATAAACATATCGCAGTTTCACATACATGTTATGCAGCGTAACATACAATAATGTAAGCTGAATATTTATGTATTTATGTATAGTATACAAAAGTACCATAAAAAGCTTACATTAACACTATACAGACCCTGTATTCCTCTTATATCGATAAGTACATCAAAACTGGCAAGGTTCAAGTCTTTGTAGTAGACACCTTAAAACATATATTTAAGGTATGCTTACTTAAAATATGTAATTTTATATTTTTCCTGGCAAAAGGTACCACGATCTATTATAATATAATAAGGTATAAAAACCAATTGATTTAACGATGGGTTGATATTACTAAAATCAATGAAGAAAAAACCATGACGATGTATCTTTTTATCTTTTTAATTCAAGCATGCCGTAAGCTACAGCTGTATTTATGTCACAAAACAATGATAACTTATTCAATCAAATCCTTTAATTTAAGACTTGTGGCAGTTGATACAAAGCATTTTATTTTGTAAAATTTCTACAGAACTTTCGAATGATCTTCAAAATGACATTACTGGACCTTGTTTACAGTCATTGACTTTAAAATTTGGGACAAAACATTACTGATAGTTTATTAATTCACTTGGATGGTTAATTGTTGCAGTCTTTTAATGTATGTAGTATTTTGAAACAAGTTGAACAAAATATGCACCTTGTCCGGTGTTACCAAACACCATCCTGGTTTTCTTCCCAGAGTTGTCTGCTAATATTTTGAATAGTTGATCAAACGTGTCAGGTCTATACCATACCGCATCACTGCCTACAACCTGAAGCTGTTGACCTGTTCGTGGGTGGCATTTTCCCTGGCAACGTTCTCCAGTTTTAGAACAAAAGGCCATTCCTAGTTCCTGCAAACAATACTATTTCTCGAAAATGCATCTTTTATCAAAATAACATCAGGACGCAATTCTTATCAAATCTAATTGGTTATCTTTGTATATAACACCTCTGTAGAACAAAAATCCTGAATTCAGGAGAATAACTAATCTGAAAGCGTTCATCAAATGATTACATCATTTTAAAACCCCTATTTTATGCATCAATATAATATACTTATGCTGCTAGACCTTAAAAACATAAACAGAGTCGCTGAAAATTAAAGTCGTGTTCAATAGTTTGAATATTATTACCTAATGTGAAAAGGTTTTCACAATGGAAATACAATATAATTGAAACCAATTTAAAAGTAGTCTTCATAGCGCATTCTGAGACTGATTCTCTCTTTTTTCATTAATGAAGGTAGAACAATACAAACCAACACATTTTTTTCAAAATATCATTTTTCTGCTGTTTTTGTTATTTTAATATATTCCAAAACCACAGATGAAAAATCTGTATCCATATCTTGCACTGTTAATCAATTCTGATGACAATTATATTTGTAAACAAATGCAAGTGTCTGACTGGTATAAAATGACAGCATGTGGGCAGTGCTATGTGGTAAATCAAAAGAATCATTTGATACCTGTATGACCACTGACCACTGTTTAAATTACAATATTGGACAAAGAGGTGGATTAGGGGTTTAAAGAAATAGGAAGATAATGAATTCCAAATTAAAATACAGTCATACATTAGAGCTGTATGGAGAAAAAATAAGAAGCTATTTTGAGCTTTAGAGGGAGAAAAGTGTTAAAATATGAATTCTTTTTAACACAAAACACAAACTGCCGTCCTTTTTTTTTACTAAAATGATAAGAAAATTCAAGTTTGCTTGAAACACTATATTTGCATTGTATACAATTATTATTCTAGAATCCATATCCATATGAATCGTCAAGACTGACCAACTGATCATTTTATGTACACATGTATAACTTACTTTTTTGTGAAAATTTTAAAAACAAAATACATAGTTTTACGTACTGAATAAATAAAATCCAAATTAGGAAAAAGCAGATGCAGTATGTAATTAACTTCTGATATCATTAATAGTTAATGTTTATCTAGATGGACAGAGTTTTGACCATATCAGTAGAAACTGACTTAGAGCAAGGTCAATTGTGATATAACTTCTCCCACCAGATTTGATTGTTGATGCACATGTACATATATAAAATTGTTGATATGAAATGCTTTCTTACTGGTCAAAATTATCTAAATGCTGATCATAAAGTATTCATATGATACATATATGAATTATATTCTAGTTAATAAGATTCAAGTAGGAAAATTCTTACTTATTCAATTGTGACACATACATTTTTGTCATGAAAATGTAGTTTTAAATGAAATTAACTCCTAGATAGACGCCTCGATATGTCTGATTTTAACACATGTTGCTTTTTGAGCTGTTATCTTCACGTATAGTGTCTTAGATTTCCAATAATATCAATCGAACAAATTTTATACCCAATTAAATTTACTGATTTTTTTATAAATTAAGGTTGCAAACATAATCGAAGGTTAATGAGACAATGAAATACAACAGGAAACATCTGAGGCATGGTTTTGGTTGTCAAATTGTGTTGCACAAGAATCTATCAAATATTTTGGGATGCTATGAATAACAAAGAAGCTAATTTCATGCAAGTGTGGGTATCAAAATCTAGCAACTACTTACATAATAATCAATTATGTAATAATGAAATTATCACCATTTGAAAGATTTATCTTTCTTATTTTTTTTGGTTCCTCATTTTATAAATTTTAAAGCTGGATGAAATGAATTTCATCATATTAAAGTTGTGTGATTAGGGGCGAAAAAATATTTGTATTGTGCTACCTTAAGGTTATCTGATTTGGGGTAAAACAATCTTGTATTGTGCTACCTTACTTTCATTTTAAATGATGCTCATTTTTATGACAGACATCAATTTTAGTTGTGAATGTCAATTAAATTGATGTTGATATTATTGTTGAGCTGTAGGTAATCAAAACGCTTTCTGGTATCAAACCAGAAGCTGGTTATAAATTTCAAAATTTAATATCGCTTTGCTTCCAAAAATGATGGGAGAAATAATGATTTCGATCTTCGAGAAATAAAACTAGAACAAATTATAACTGCAAGAAGCACAGACTTCAATTCAAATAAATATTTTCGGTACTAAAAATTCAGAGAAAAGGTGCAAGTTCAATTTCTTGAAATATGTCTCATTTTCTTAATACATCAAATGAATATTTTATATCAATTAGTACCAGAGTTGAAAGATTAAACTTTAATGACGAAATTAAAAGAAAATTGTGATTTGTTCATTTTAGTATTGTATTAGTACTGGCAAAGGTTGCTACGTGTTGAATAGAACTATACTGTCGTAACTTGAAAGATTATTTTAATTAGTATGTATGATGTTAATTTCACCTCAATATCAATAGGTGAAGCTTTCTTCATTGTTGGCGAGTCTTGTGCAAATGATTTCATCGCATCCAGAATTGGTCTATATCCTGAAAAAAAGATTTCGACTTTGTCAAGTATCTTATCATAATGACATTATTTAGAATTACACGGACTACCATAAATTCTTGACAGGATGTGAATTTTACCCATATACATCTTTTTATAACAAAGATTATTTAGTTGAAGGGCGTGACCAAGGTTTTTTCAGAAGGAAATAGACCTAATAATTGCAGTTAAATTGGATAAATGGCTAAGTATTGAAAAATATCGTACCTTAGAAGTTGTCAAACTTGTAGAAAACAGTTAATAGACAGAAAAAAACGCCAGGTTTATTTAAATAATTATATATTTGATCGTTAAATTTGGTTTTTATTTGTGATATAATGAAATCTTTGTGGTCCCATTCCTTTATGCATTACAATGTTGATATTCAAAAATATCAAACTTTGGTAAAACAAGGAATGGAAATAACTACATTGTACTTCCATTGTGCCTCTGTAGTTATTTACATGTATAATAACAACCTCAGTCTGTTAATATGAAAACAAAAACCTCTGTTAATATTTACTTGCATACGATAACCTTTGCCATCGTGTTGATATTGTTGACGATGACAAAAGATAATTTACAATAATTCTTGTAATTTACGCTGTGAAATGCCGCAATCATAAAAACAATACCCATTGGAGAGCAGAATTTAATATATACCTGTACATCTGCAGATTACATTGTCATATGCATCTTCTACTTGTTTCATGGTTACTTGCCCTTGGTTCAAATCCAGTAATCTGAAAGATTGATATTGTTAGTAAAATATTTCAGTTATTTCAGTTAACTCAAATAAAATGAGATGTGGGTTGGACGTCACTGAGATGGCAACCCGATTACACAAACAATCAAAAGACATACATTGTTCATTATTCAGTGTTCAACAATAAATAAGTGCCTTTACGATATGTCAATCTCTAAATCGTCCAGAGTCGAAAGAAGTTCTGAATAAATTTGACAGAACCTATCAAAGATCTGCCATCAACAACAATTCTCCAAATACTAGTAACAAAACAACGCAGTTTAGATATGAAATTTAGGCCGTGGCATCAATCCATGAGGTTCCTGAACTTGGATAGGCACTGATGGAGAGATTTCGCATTGGAAATCGTACCACATTTTCTTATTTTTACATTACAATTTTCATACATACTTCATCATTTAAATAACAACCATCACACATGTTACATAGATCGGTCTGTCCAACTTTTATTGTTGTATATATAATTATAGATCATCATGGAAGTATAGAAATGCAAAAAAATGTGTACTTCTAAAAGTGTCCCTATTGCAATCGGTAGGAAAAACGCGTTATCATGTTGCTACTTAAACAGTTCTGATAGCGTTAAACATGGTTTTGAATCTGTGATGTTTTATATAAAAACTTACGCATGCATATTCATAACCTGACCAGGACTACAAAATCCACACTGAGAACCGTTGTATTTTGCCAAACGTTTAGGGATAACGTCACTTATACCTTCTATGGTTGTTATTTCCCAGCCATCACACATAAATAATGGACAAAGGCACTATAATTTAAAAAAAAAGTTGATACGTTCATTGTAACACAAAACTACAAGATAGAATCTGTAACTCGATGCACCCAATGACCATTTTGAAACCTTAAACGTTCTTTGTATTGTTTGCTGTCAGGCTGATTAAAAATTCAATAAGTTTATCAAATCTTAAATATATCTCTATAAGCATTTTAAAATATGGACACTATTTTGAAGTTAAATACATTTGAAGTTGACTGGCAGTTGTTTGGGCCTATTTCCTTATCTTTTTTAGTCAGTACCGCATGAAAAAGGGTATTAATTCACTCAAAATCAGATCCGTTAAAATCGTTTCAAATATTAACATTTGAGACATTTGGTATTGAGCATGCGTTGCCTATACTTACTGAATTGATAGGATAACTTTTTCTCGTGTCAGACATAGGTTCATATAATTTGGCTTCAACAACACAAATACCGCATCCTCCTTCATGACACATCACTTTGGTACCAACAGAAATCCGCTCTTTTCTTAGATAAGTATTTAGTGAGGTCCATGGAGGATATTCATTACCAACTATAAATAAAGGTGCAAGTTAAAAATATATGTGAGATTTTACCAAGCTACCTGGTGGTTGTTCTTTCTAATGGACATCTGTTTGACTTTCCGAATGTGTAAATGTTTAACTATACCCAAACTGTTAAATTGATTGGTCATTGGCGATCTTTTTATTCAAACTAGATGAGTCTTTACGACCCCAAAGGCAGAGCCCGCAACTAAATTTCTAAAATAGATACTATGCAAAACAGATGTTTTCTTTTTTTTTTTTAGAAATGAACGGAACATTGAAAATGTTGTACATACCAGTAGAATACCCTTTTAATTTGTTTGTGTGTACGAACTTCGAAAAATTATTCCGAAAAAAAAAACCAAT